CCTATATATTAAAACCCATTAATCTTTAGACCTAAGAGTAAGTTAAACCTATAGGCCTACACATTCTAACACTAAGAAAGTAAACATTTACTCTCGAACCTACCTTTCATTTTCATACGTTTTGGTGCGATTACAATTATTATGCTCTTCTCCTATTATCGAATTGTCCTCATTGATAACTTCGATGTTACAATGACAATCTTCTGGATTTAGTGTGGATTGATTTTTATCCGAGTAATTCATGTTAAAATTCTAGTACTGCTCATTACATCAACAACAACAAAAAAACACTAACTAAAATAGGCCTATAACTTGAAACCAATTCGATGAAAAACAAATCGTGTAAAGAAAGAACACAGGGTTAGGCCTAGGCTTTTTTACTTCACGGAATGATGTGTTGCTTGTTTCGAATTATGCTTTCATTCTATGCTTATTTTTTATGGAGGTATTCTGTTCTCAGAACGTTTCCATGACAGTAAGTGTTGTTACAATGCACACGTTGCGTACGCTCGTGTTGATATACATGGCTAGGCAATGCGCGTAGAATGAGTTGCCTCTTCTTTTCGGTTTCTTTGCCTCTTCCACAACTACCTATTATTCCTATGGCATATTCCATCTAATTAATCCCTGATTCATAACATTTATATTTTTTGATTGGAATTTTATTTTTTTATTGATTTTATGTAATTTCTAATTAAACTTCATTCAAAATAATGACGAAGCGCGCTCAAAATATGCGTCGATGGAACAACTAAAGACATGCGCTCAGAAAGAAAGTATTGCGCGGATAAACAAATGCTGTATCGTAGCAACATTTTCTTTAAAAATGTTGTTTAGGCTAGGCCGGCGCCTAGGCTAGTGATCGTTTCGATTTGCAGCATTTTTTCCGTAACAGAAATAAGTCCAACCTAGCTTAGAGTGTTTTTTAAATTTTTTTTTATTAATAGACAGAGACAAGTTCACTGTTCAAGGTAATATAGGCTACAGAATAGTTCAAGATCAACCAGGTTCAGACAAATAAAATGGTGTTTACATAAGTAACATAGGCTTAGGTACATAACTCACGGCAACGCTACTCATTTTATTTATATTTACCGAGGGCTGGTGAGCCGTTTCCAATCTTTAGTTGCCCCCCCCCCCCTTCTTCGTCTTCTGGTATCTTTTCTAATTAATGTGAAGTCTTTCAGATTCCGCGGTGTGGGCGGTAAGAGCATCTCATCCGTTCACCACCCTTTGTGAAAAAAGTGCTTCCTATACTTTTAGGCCTAGCGCATAGGTCAGTGAGCATAAGGCTTTTTTAATTTCCATCTATGACCACAACCCCCCACCCCCTCGAGTAACCGAACTAACTGCAAATTCAAAAAGCAAGTCCCCATCGATATTCTCGTTTCCATGTAAGATTGTATAGCTATAATAGGTTTCGACTAAGTCCCCTTGGTGCTTCTTATTTCTAAAGTAGGCCTTATGTTATTAAATTAAAAGCTATAGGCCTAATAACACGCTCCTCATAAAAGTTTTTCATACATTGGAAATTTTAGTAGCAGGTCTTTGGACCTTTCCTAATAAATATCTTTTCTCAACTGCGGAGACCACCGGACTGAAAATTCAAGGTGCGGACGAACTAGTCAAATTTACCTAATTTTAGCAACTGACTTGCCGTATATTTAAAAGATCACTGCCGAGTACCCGATTAGCAGTTAACTGCAACAACACACAATGTTATGATGGGTTTGAAAGAATTGTCAACAGGGGTTGCGCCAGGATTTTCCCGACGAAAGCAATGTGGGCGTGGTCGAGCTTTGATTAAATGTTTCGAATGTGGTCCAGGGGGGAGAAGCCCCCAAAAATGTATCAATTTAGGGGTTTCAAAGACTTATTTAATCGATTTTAGAGTCTACTAATAAGTAGAAAATAGGCCTACATTATAATTGTTTTTTCTCCCCGACGAATTGTGCTTTTTCTCCCCGACGGGGGGGGGGAAGGGAGGGGAGAGCACTCCCCGATGGGGGGCTGTGTCCACCGGCCCCACCGCTGGCGCCACCCCTGATTATCAATAAACCACCTAGGTCGACCTTTTTCCTACTCAACTTCATTAAAAACAGTTCCTTCCATCTCATAAATAAATTCGGGATTATTATGACCTAAGTGCATTACTTTACATTTAGGTACATAAAATCATCAACATCAGTCCTGGCACCAAGTACACAGACTATGCAAATCATTTTATTTTTTTTAGTCAAGACAGTTGAACAATTTAGTAGTGTCTTCTGCAAATTTAAAAAAAGCGAATCGACAACGGTATCAATATCATTGACAAATATAACAAGGAAGAGTACAAGACCCAAAACTGAGCCCTAGGGTACACAACTGGTACTGACGTAACTTCCTACCATTAATACTCGTTGTAACCGATCCGATAGCCAATTTTATAACTCAAGACCCAAATGTCCATCAATATCATGATCAAACACCCAATAATAAATCTTGCATGCGGCACTTTATCAAAGGCCACATAAAATTTGTAGTGGCGTATTAAATTATTACCCATGTATTTCAATTTGTTGCTAGTTCTTTGTGCGGTTGAGAAGCATTCTTACGACCCACGTTATTTGGCAAAGCGTAAGGGCCTTTCTGCCTTGTAGTTGCGTACCTTCAGCAGCGATTTCTGTCGGTATTATATTATATTTATATAAAAGAGGTGACAAATACGAAACTAAAATTGAATACAGTTTGCTTACTCATAAACCCAGACTGAATGCAGTAAAACTCTTCATTTCCCAACCTCATTATGATGGGCTACGCCTTCGCTGCTGGCCAATCGATTGATTTACTAAATATTTTTCTATTATTGAAGGTCCACACCGGTAAGTCAGTCGTCTGTTGGTAGTGGAGCAGATAGGCCCCAAGTAGCAATGGAAACAGCAGTTTCATTCGACAGACCTCCTTCGCCGCGAACGTTACCTTGTTTCAAGAATCGGGCTCCGAAACAGATTAAAAGACTACCAACCAGATCGTTTGTTAAAGAAACGGCTCAAGAAAATGAACAGAACAGGTGGAGTCCGGAAGATGAGCATTCATCACAAGGACTATATTATAAACAAAAATCAAGACAAGGTCATCTGTGATTTGTATATAGCATAGCCGACCAATAGAGAACACAAAATGCAACGATCCTGGAGACTGTGATCTTAAGCCTGACCTAATCACCACCAAGAATATGATAGATCAGATGAATATTGTTCTGCAAACAGAATTTCGTTTATAAAACATAAACCAATATAACGATGATAATTACTTAAAATGGCCTCAAATGTTTTAACAATACACAAAATTGAAGTTTTCATGTAGGCGTACTTTATATTAAAATCAAAGACCGCAGGCACATTCAGTTTGTTTCTTCAAATCATATTTAACAATATTGTTCAAATCATATTTAACAATATTTGGAGAAAGTGCAAATTAAGAAAAGACAAGAGTAAAGCTTGGTTTCCATGCAATCAAGCTTTACCCACATCCAACAACGGGAACTTGTTTATAGACCATGAACCACCCCAACCCCAATATAATATATTGTTCTGGAATGAAAACTTATATTTTAAATTATAAATAAAATATTAATTCAAGAATTGTTGTTTTAATAAATTAACAAATAATAATGTTATTGAAGCGCTGCATTAGACATAATCATAATTCTCACTGTCGTTATATAATAATAACAAAATATTTATTTCCGTGTCAAAGATACAACTCTTAATATAAAAATAATAAACATACCACATGGTCATACCATCTGATATCACATAAACAGATATTATTGGCCAACATCTTATTTTTTAAATGGTTAAATCAAGAAAAAAAATTATTTGGCACTGTAATGAAAATGCGCACAAAAACCGATTCTTTCCTGGTTTATCATAATTAAATACAAATTATATAAAATGATTATTCTTTGTCTGGATACAAACATTGCCAAGAATACATTTAAAATATTAAAGTAAATTTAAACACGAATATAAAGCAGTACCGGTACATTGAATATAATTACATATTATGGCAGTAGCAACACAAAGTGCAAAAAAAATGTAGAGTTAAGCTTCTTTACCGTAAGCAATAATTGCTTATTATTAGGCCTATATAATGTTATTCGAAATTTCCTATTCAATTATTTCTAGTAAGTTCTGAATCATGATAAAATACGATGTCTAATTAAGGGAATAACTAAAATACAGAGAACAAGGCGTTAATATGAAATTACGATTAAAAAGTAAAAAACAAAACAAGAAAAAAAAAAAAAAAAAATGGGTTAAAATGGCAAATGTGAATCCACACACCCCGATTCTTATACAGCCATCAGATTCGTGTCTAATCTGATGGCTGTCTATCTGTCTAAACGTTTGTATCTGGTGACAGTGGTAGAATCGACTGATCCACAATAGAAGTTGGTACCGTACTAGTTTGATACCGTTGCAGATAGCCTAACTATACGATGAAAACAATGATTGATTCGCATTTTACATTAGTTTTTAACAAAAGGTAGAATATTATTGTCAAACTGCATTTCAAGATCGTAATTAAAGTATTAAGCTCGTTTAGTAAATCTCTTTAGGCCTTATATATGTATGTATTGAATACGCGTTATCATGTCTTTGACTGTATACTCGACATCATCATCTAGCCCATTACCCAGAGTGGCCCTTGTTTTGGGCGAATTCCCGAAAAAAAAAAATCATCATCATTGTGTTATTATTATTTATATTATAGGCCTACAATTTTAAAAACTAAATAAATTGTAAAGTATTTCAAAAACTGACGTACTAAAGTGTAAATGAAATAGTGGGAATAAGAACTTATACATGACAACAAGGAATTATATTACAATAGTCACCTTTATAAACTTCGTCCAAAAAAAACACAAAAAAAACAAAACCTTGTTATAGCTGAAACCATAATCGGTTTTAAAATGCTCGTTGTGTAAATATGACCTAATGTATAAGCTTCTCCTGTTTTTTTTTTCTGGATATTTAGTGGTTTAACTTTATCAGTTACATTCGTTTGGATTCTTTTTCTTCTTCTTATGGGCCAACTTCATAATTGAATGCTACGGCAAAACCACAAAAATAGGCCTACTTGCCCCATTTGTACGTTACTTCAAAATATGTGCCATATTCAATCCGTGACATGACCATTACTTTTCTAAACCGACTTTTTAGGGCATATTCGGCCATCGTATGATGATTTGTGGTCCTGGTGGTTATAAAGTGTTGGTTCGTTATTTTCAGTTACTGTCATAGGCCTACTATTGAAATAAAGAATTATAAGCCTGCTGATTTGCTGAGTTTACTGTCGTGTTGCTAGAGCTTACTGCCGAGTTGTATCACAGATGCAAATGAGTCTGCGTTTAGTACATCATACGTCTTTGACTTGTTATTAACATAAAACAGGGGATCGGTAATTTGGATCGGATCAAATCCCTGTTTAACCAAATTCGACTTCTTGTGTTTGAAGGTGACAGTCAAGTCCATATTGCTGGTAATTCGTATGAATTTTGGACGTGCATATGATGGTAGTTTACCACTGAGGTAGGTGTAAAGTTTCTTGAAATCTAGCGAATCAACGCCGGCTGAGAGGGTTATGGCGGCCATTCCAGCTTTGCCATCTTGACCTGCGAAATAAAAATTAAAATTCTTATACACCTCTATCCATCCAAGTAAATTCTAGTACTTGTTTCCATTATTGTGCTTATTATATTAATTATTTTTAGGCATTGAAAGTACCAGGTTAAAACCGTCTAGACCTAAAATATTCCGTCACAAATAGACCTACAAGTACAAACCTGGTATCTTCTGAGCAATAGGATATTTATATAACACAAGGCGATAGTACACAAGTAGTACAAACCTGGTATCGCCACTCCATAGACGTTTGCCTCCATAATACCAGGAAACTCGTCTAGAATCTTGGCAACTTCAGTGGTAGAAACGTTTTCACCTTTCCATCTAGAAATAAAATATTATAAGTAGAAAATCAAAAACAGAAACTAACTGGCAATTGAAATGATTACAATTATATTATTGGTTATAAAATGCAAATTAAATCTTGGTGGTCCATCGCATATAATAACGGTACCGATGGAAAATATTTACGGTACCTGAATGTATCTCCAAGCCTATCCATGAAGTATACGTAGCCATCTGAATCGATTTTGATGAGGTCGCCTGTGTTAAAGTAACAATCTCCGTCCTGAAACACGTTCCTTAGGATCTTCTTTTCTGTCTCTATCTTTCCAGTATACCCTAGAAACGGTCGAGCGTCGTTCACTAGTGATACAAATAGTCCTGTTTCACCTGATAAAAGATAAAATAATATATATATACATATATATATATATATATATATATATGTATATATATATATATATTAAAAAATGAAGATTCCATGTTTGCTTCGATAAATAAAAAATATAGAAAGACAGCAATAAAAAACAGCTATGAGTTGTAAACATACTAGAAGCAATATAATTTATTAAATCACAAATATTTCAAACACTCCTGTGTTCTTCCCATAGAGATATAATTAATAGCTCTATGGTTCTTCCTCAGTGTGAGGACAACCAAGGAACAACTGACAAAAAATACAAAGTAAAGCAACATTCACACCAAAGTCGAATTCGGTTCGCATGGCCAACGAAACGAAAAAAACATCGAATCAGCGGTAAAGAACAGAGGCGCGTAATAAGACGAGCATCCTAAACGTTCTACTTAATATGGAATAAACAAAGTAGATAAAAGCTAGATAAAGGCCTGGGAACCAAGAAAAAATTAAGTATACATAAATGAATAGTCTGATAAGTAATCTAAGTCTTTATTTAAACCGTTGATATAAGAATTTCAATTCTTCTTTGCGTCTATGTGAGAGGGATAAAAAGCTATTAGCGATCAAAATAAATCTTATGTTATTAATGCTATGGTTAGGTAGATTGAAGTGACAGGCTACTGGGAAACCAGTGGAGTTGTCTCTGATGGTTTTTTGTGATTATAAAATCGGAGGCGGAATTTGGTGCCAGTCTCACCTATGTAATTACCAATTTGACATTTGTTACAAAATAAAATGTAAATAACGTTAGAAGAATCACAGGTAAGAGGAGGGGGTCTAATAGTAATATTAGTACTAGGAATAGTGAATGTGTCAGAGGTGCACATGAAATTGCATTCGTGACATGAATGCTCTATCGGATTTCTCAAGATTAGCAAAATCACATCTTTACAAACGTTTCTCTAAGTTGATCACGTTTCATCCAATTGGAAGTATTTTCTTTTACGTTGAAAACGCACTGCGTACAGACTGTCTCTTATACACATCTAGATGTGTATAAGAGACAGGATCTAATGTATGCCACAAACATAATTTGAGAACTAGCGAGGTATTTTCGACTATCAGTCTTTTTTATTATAGCTTAACGACTCTCGACAAAGACGATACCATACATTAGCACTACTATGCGTTACTGCTATATCTCTATCAGGCAGCACGAGGGCTAGCCACCTCTTGACAGAGTTGCAAGAGTTGAGCTAAGAATGGCAGGCTCCAAGACAAAAATTAATAAAACAAACCTGGCGCAACCTCAATACACTTTCCATCCTTCCCTCTGATTGGTTCAGCAAGATCGACGTCACACTTGATCGCATGGACGCCTCCTGTCCTTAACTTAAGACAACAAAAAGTAAATGTATCTTGTAATGTTAAATAAATACACTTGTATTTTTTTCATTTTGCTTTCCTCGATGTGTTTGACTACTACTTTACTTGTACGTTAATGGGTCATTGGGAGTATATAGTTCTGTGAGACATGCGCGTATTCATACCCTGTTCTGATAATATAAGTATCTCGGTGTGAATCACACCAACGATAACCCAGTAAGTCTAAAGACTTGTTTCGGGATCCTTCTGGTGGTGAATTGGGCAGCACACCGGCAGACAATCCCCTACTCTTTTCCGAAGAGAGAACTGCGTTCTTTAATAGGCACATGGGCTATATTGCACACGGGACCAACGGCTTGAACGCCTCATCCGAAAGACGGTGCGCTATCGTAACTTGTATTTTAGCCATCCAGCTGAAACACAAGTAGAGGCAGCGATGGAAATTGAACCGTTAACACCTGCTCTGTCCCTAACGCCCTTATGAATGAATTCTCCCAGAATCACCAAATCCGTACTTACCATACCAGACAATCTTCACAATTCCATCATACTCGCCCTCGAACAGTCTCCAGGGACAAATCAATCTTTGCCCTTGGTTCTATTGCTTGGAATGAAATACCTCCCAACCCCGACACTAATATCAGCATTTTCACGTTTAAAAATATAAATCTAAAAATTCATTCACTCATAACACAATTATTTGCACATATTTTGCACAATAGTTAAGCAACGCGACTTATTATTTAGCCTACAAGCCTCTGGTTTTCTGTAAGTAACCCATTTCCGTTGTTTGTTCAACATCTGTATTGACTGCAAATGAAATAAAATAAATTATAAATTATACCGGGGACCAAGGGATATCCACAGCTCAGCGCACACACAGTGGCTACCACCGGATTAGCCGACATGAGCTAAGCTGCCTCTCTAGCAGGGGTGGCTCCAGGATTTGCCCGACGGTGCGGGAGGCGGGGGGGGGGACGGCCGGGGACCCGGACGGGGCCGATTTCCCCGACGAGGTGTCAGATTTCCCCGACGAAAACAAAGTGGGCGTGGCTGAGCTTGGATTAAAAGGTTTCGAAAGTGGTCCAGGGGGGCTTTGAAACTTTTTTGACGATTTTAGTGTCTACTTGTGATGTAGAAAATACATATAATTTTGTTTCCTCCACGACGAATTGTCCTTTTTCTCTCCGACGGGGGCCAGTTCAGACACGTTGGTTGCCGATGAACTTCCAGTAAGGCTATATTATCGGATGTGATACCGTATTTGTAATAAGATTTATGCAAGTTATTAATTACGATTTACAGCTTTAAATTTACCTTTACAAGCGGCGTAAGGCGGCCGACAGCACCGATTTTCCCGTCTATGTTCATAAAAAACGTATTGGCCTCAGTTGCTCCCCAATACTCAACAATACGCTCAATGTTGAAGCGGGTCTTAAACTGCTCCCATATATCAGGCCTCAGACCATTACCACATGCTATACGAAGCTTCACTGGATACACACCATCATCTGGTTTCTAAAATAATACAAATTAAAATTGTATTCAATAAAAGAATGCTTAGGGAAACCAAAAACCAAAAGGTCATTACATCGTCACTCACTTCTGACAGATGCAACAAGTAGGCCTATTTTTACTGCAGTTTTTTATTAGCCGCCCCCACCCCCAGTGGGCCTAATAGGCCTATCATTCATTGTACCACCAGTCTATTTTAAAACTCGGTAAAGCAAAAATAGCACTTGACATTAGTTGAGATGTTTACTGACACACGATTTCATACACACAATAGGCTACTTCTACAAACAAGTGGATGTGCTGTGTACACGAAGTTTGTGTCAATAACTCAGCAAGTCTCAAAACTACTTTCATTAGTCTGTATCATTCATGTTATTCCAGTCATAAATAAAATATATTAAACTGTAGAGAGAAATGACATATGCCACGCATGAGACCATTTTCCGCCATCTAATGACATTTAAAAAAAATTTATACATACGTTTTACTTATATTCAATTAATTGCTAGAAATATAAATTTGTATCTTTATTTTTATGCTTTGTGATATACATTTTGTGTTAGTTATGAGGGTAAACAATCATCTCGAGGTTGCCATGGAAGTGTAAGTTGCTAACCTTTGGTTGGGCCAATAGGTAGCGACAAGTTTCGCCGATGTACTGAATAACGGTGGCGTGGTGTTTGCGAACATCTTCCCAAAAGTGAGTGACAGAAAACATACGACTGCTCGCAAAAGTACATCCTGGATAATGTATATTATAATGTGAAAAAAATGGTAAAGAAATAAAAGCATAAATCTATGAATTGTGGCATCGGTAATGGCGCCGTATTATTATACAGTGTTGTATAATTCATACCAACTTTGCCTCCATAAAATACTTTAAAAGAGGTACTGCCTGTCATGAGCTTTTCAAAAGGAAAAAATCAATTTCATATTCAAATTGCTTAATTTGTATATTTAAGTAATAGTGGTTTTGGCCGATAGTGAATTTTTATTTTTTATCATATGGCAATATTATTTAATAATAATTACTTAATGTAAAACAACCTAAAAGTACTTCACCATTCATAAACCTGCCTTCTAAAAGTAATGAAAAAATATACAGACAAGTAAAGCAGATTTTACCGACTCTCACACTGTTAACAAAACCCATGATAGCAGAAATATGATACATCGGTAGAGGAGTGTAAAAAACGTCGTCTTGCCGAAGACCAAAGAATATCATTACGTGTGCTGCTGAATTTATACTTCGGTGGGTCTTTTTGCAAGCTTTTGGGAAACCTTAAATTGAAATAAAAATATTAATTATAACAGTAATTCAAAAAATCAAATATGACTGACTATTGAAACACACTTTCTTTTAGTAACAAAAATCATTTAGGTCTCTCGATATGATAGTGCATGTTCTAACCTTATTTAATATTAATAAAATACATTCATAGTAGTAATAAATAATAATAATAATAATAATAATAATAATAATAATAATAATAATAATAATAATAATAATAATAATAAACTAGACTTATGTTAAACAGAGCACATGATTTTTTGATCTTTAGTTTATTCATAGCTATGTCACCTACTAGAGGTAATGTTTTGATTGGTCAAACACTTTTGGTACTTGTGCATATAAGCTTGCAAATATGGATAATTTTCCATTCCTGATGATGCCATAATTAATGTAGAAATATTAAATCCTGAAACGACGGCTTGCATTTCGATACTTGGAGATGTATTATACTATCTTATCTGCGATTAATCAGTGGGCCTTTAAACTCATTAAAAAAGTCTAGCGAAAAACAAAAATGAAATTATACAGTAAATAATGGGAAAAAAATTATGAAGTTGTTTTCTCCCCGACGAAATGTGCTTTTCCTCCCCGACGGGTGGACCCTGCCCCCCCCCCCCCCCCCCGCGCCCCCCCCCCCCCGTTCAAAAAAAAAAGAAAAAAAAAAAAAAAACCA